TGATAGTTTAGTCCTAATGTGAAGAGTTTTAATTTCGAGGTTCTACAGCCTGAACGCACGGACTTTTGTCCCCATGTTCGTAACAGCTTCTCTCTGTGGGTATTTCATAGCAGTACTATAAAACATGTCCCACATGCTCTGATCCAGATCGGTCAAGACCTCTCCATGGCATTCGCTCATCTCTTCGCTGATGGCATTGGTTGTTTTTGCGTCAGGTTGGTTTGCTTTATTGCTTTCCGGGGCTGATACAGGCCTGGACATGGTATATAAAATCCATCCTGCGATATTCAAGGCGACAAGAAAGATTACCGTTGTGAAGAACGAGTAGAAGTTTATGATTTGTACCATTTCTGGTTATCTGCTTTCTAATGCTAGGATGTAGGAATCAATAGTCTCTTGACAGCGTAATTCGCCTTTCTGATTCGATGCAACAGTGTTCCTTCGATTGGAACAATCGCAGGATGAATGAGCTGCTGCCTGAATTGTCGATATGAAATGATCTGAAGATGGAATTCACGACTATAAAGGGTGAAGTGTAAGGCTATCGAGGCGTTGACGTCAGGCTGCACCAGATGGTTCGATATACCTTCAACCAGTCAGAATTTGAGCTTGTGGGAGGCTATGAACTTTAAAACCCACAGACCGCCTCTATAACACTCGCAACGAAAGCATTCCTTCCGAACTTTATTTGAGAAATGGCCTCATGCTGTCGATCTTTCACAAAAGGAGGGGGTATCTTTTGCGCAGGTAAGATCTCGCTTTCGTATAGCGGATTGCTTGCCGTTCGAGGCACAGCTTTTGATTCCATCGGGTTGTGCTACACCACCACCGACGGCACAGCCGACAATCCGAAAGTCCGAGCAATAAGTATGTTAGTTTCTTCAGACTTATCACTGCTTTGTACAAAGTCTGCATTGGGAGGCTGACGTTGTTTGCATAAAAGTTTGGTAAAGTTGACGATGTGCAGAAGTTGGAGAGGGATACACGTGAGTCAGCATGCATGCGTCCCAAACGAGGGATCTTCCGTGCCTCGTGCAGCACAATAGTCTTGGACAATAGAGAGAGATGAACGTTCACGGATGGTAACCAATCCCACTTAAGCCGATATTTGACGATGCACGTTGGAGGCGTGCGGGAGCTCTATAATTATGTTTTTAAATCTCCAATGACTTCATATAACAGATAAGCCGATTTATTGAGGATAATTGGGGTGAAAACTTTTGTGGTTTAAATCAAAAGAGCAGCAGGAAATTTGTTAACCCATGATTCAGGCTTATTTGTGCGGTGGAAATGTTTCTGAATTTGGGGGCCAATCAACATTTCGGAAAAGTACGTCTCGGAAACTCAGTTTGGCATGCTAGTGGCGAGCCATCGTATATGAAGTATGGCGGTGTTGATCTCTCTGGAAGCGGAGGCCAATCGGAATCTCTGAATAGTAGTGTACCCAAGTAATTTCGTGCAACAAGACTTAGTTAACACTTGCGCCAAAATTCTAAGAGATGGGGTACGGTAAATTTACAAGCAAGTAGGCTGTAGTTCACCACGCGACATCCATAATTGTTCTTGGTGGTGATGTTCTCGCTTCATATGTTACAAAATTATTTGCAAGTGATTACTTGCAACCTGCTCTAAAACTCGCGCTTACTTAAAACTTAGTCAGACTTTGAAAAGTACCAGTGTGTTGCAAGTCACTCCGCGAAACACCCAGGGGGCCAACCCTCAAAGGTCAGCAGGACACTGTTATAGACACAATTATAGGAGAGCCATATTAAAATCTGTTCGTCACTTCCTCGTCACCTATGCAGTTCAAGAACTAGTTGTTCGCTTTCGGTTCCTCATTCTGACGGCAACGGCCGATTTTCGTCCGAGTCAACCTATGCGAACGATTTACAACCCTCCTTGTCATCATCTCCATGACTCCGCCGCAACCAAGTAATCTGAATAAATGTGACAACTTACAGATCTGGCTGCAGTCATTGCAGACGACCATCCCGCCAAATTCAAGATTTTTGGGATATGTTGGGCAACTTGAGCCACGAATCCGAAATTTGTTGGTTTCGGCGCTCGCTTAATTCAAGGGGGGCGGACGACGGGTGAGCAGAGGATAGGGCCGTGGCTTCATTGTCCCAAGTTGGTGCATGAAGTTGGTGCTTACAGGACCTTAGAACCAATTGTTGCTGTTCTTGGTTCGAGGTACCATGATCTGGTATCTCGCTATAAATGTTTGAACGGTTATAATTATCGTACGATCTGATGGAAGTCGCTTTAAATCTAACCGCATTCGTCAGTAGTAAGCAAAATCTTTACATTCTGCCAGTCTTCTTTCATTATACAGATATCTATCACCGCATAGTACATTCAATCGATCCAAAGCAACTTTCGTCGGATCGTACGATATTCTGGAGAGCTCATCAGCTCTCTCACAACATCTCGAAAAACCCTCACGACATAACACAGGATGTTGACCCAAATTCAACTCGCGTTTTTCATTGCTGCACTCTTCGTTGTATACACCTCCTTCCTACAGGCTCGGTTGTATCTCAAACGCCGCCAATTCGCAAAAAGCCATGGATGCCTCGAGCCAAGATGCAAAGTTCCATTGAAAGATCCCGTGCTGGCGCTTGACTTTGTATGGAAGACATTACAGAACGCAAAAAGCGATAGATACCTAGAAGGAACATACGAACGTTTCCAACAATATGGGTCGACGTTTACAGCCAAGCATCGTAGGTGTATCCACAGGAATTTATTCACATTATGGTTATTGGGGGAGTGATGAGACAAGGTTTCACTCTTAAGACATGTTTTATCTTCAATGACGCGAGCTTCCTCCTGAGAGATGATCAAAAGAAGTTTGACTGACTCCGAGACTCTCCATAGTTCACTACCCCACCATCCACACCACTGAGCCGGAAAACATCAAACACATCCTCGCTACAGCATTCGACGACTTCAAGTTCTCCAGCTTCCGAGTCAATGCGATGATTCCATTGTTTGGCAAAGGTATCTTTACTAGCGATGGTGCTCGTTGGAGCCATTCGAGGGCGGTGCTGAGACCAAGTTTTGCAAGACATAACATGACTGACCACCTCCCTTTCATGGAGTCACATGTCGACCAGCTTATCAAGGCAATCCCGAAAGATGGATCTGTTGTCGATTTGCAGAAGCTTTTCTTCGCCTTTACCATGGACACAGCAACGGAATTCTTGTTTGGGCATTCAGTTCATACACTGTACAACATGCAACTGGGCAATGACGCTGTGGCAGATGACTCGGATGCTAATTTTGTTGATTCCTATACGTAGTATGTTTCAACCCTTCCTTTCGTCTTTTCCTCCCATCTCAAGGAAACTAGCAAGGACTCACATCAATAGCGCGTGTCTTGACATCGTACATAACATTCGCCTGGGAGCCCTTTCCAAACTCCGCTACAGCCCCAAGGCCAAACAAGCACAGAAGCGAGCTTTCGCTTACATCGATCGGTTTGTGGACGAAGCGCTCGCTCTTCGTAACTCAAGCAAAAGCAGTCGTGCAGACGAGACATCAAAATACATCTTCCTCAACGAATTGGCCAAGGAGACTGGTGATCGAATCGAACTTCGAGATCAAATTTTGAACGTCCTTCTGGCAGGTCGAGATACGACGGCCAGCCTATTGAGCAACACGTTTTGGGAACTCGCTCGACATCCGGACATCTACGCTAAGTTGAGGGACGAGGTAGCTTTTTTGAACGGTAGGGAGCCGACCTATGAGGAATTGAAGGATATGAAGTACCTGAAGTTCTGTCTTAACGAGTGTATGTCTTCATGTGTTGACAGGATTTTCATCATGCTGATTTTTAAAGCGCTTCGTCTACGTCCTGTGGTTCCTGCTAATACGAGAGAGGCTATCCGAGATACTATATTGCCACGGGGAGGCGGAGAAGATGGTTGTTCGCCAATGTTTGTCAAGAAAGGTACACACGTCTATTATAGTGTTTGGTCTATGCACCGACGAGAGGAGTTCTTCGGGAAGAAGACGGAAGAGTATATACCAGAGCGATGGGAAGGCCTGAAGTTGGGATGGGTATTGATCCCACTACTTTCAATCAACGATGAACCCCACTGACACATCTAAGGAATTCCTGCCGTTCAATGGAGGACCCAGGATTTGTCTTGGTCGTGGGTACCAGAATTCTGGAGCATACGATTTATGCTGATTTGCACAGAACAATTCGCTTTGACCGAGGCCTCCTATCTTACAGTCAGATTGCTCCAGAAGTTCTCTCGCATCGAGGCTCGAGATTCGCGGCCATGGACTGAGCTGTACACTTTGGTTGCTTACTCGAAGCATGGGACTTTGGTGTCTCTCACCCCAGCTTGAGTCGATTGAAATTTGGATCATCCCGTTTGGGGTCTTTATGGATATGAATGTGCTTACCGAACATATTACATTCATTACAGACTGGATTCGCTCTTGTTTGTTGCTGGCGATCCGGGTGCTTGCTAGGCGGAAGGGAGGTAAGATTTGAATAGAGCAAGAATAATGGTATAGAATAGATATGTTTTCAGAAATCTTAGAGTCTTCGGTTGATAGACGTGAATCAATGGTGGTTGCAAGCCACGGAAAGAAGCATAATGTAGAGAATATCTCAGCCAAGATACACTAACTGCTCTCCCAATGTTCCCCAGGCCGTGGAGATAATCTGGCCAATAGCTACCCGAAATGCAACGTCATCTTTCCACTCCACAAGCATAACATTAATGACTTTCCAGTCTCCCGCAGAGCGATCCACTTCCTTATCAGGCTGCAGGTACGACGTACCACTTACAGGGTCGACCTTAGCAGCTTGTGTTATTTTCCGCTTGGGTATATATTTCTTATCAACCGCGTTCTTCAATGTCGTGCCTGATGTCCTGTACGAGAGAGCAATGAACTCGTGACCCCGAGGCATTTGGGCTACGCGTTCAGACGTCCATACTATACCAACACGTTGGTTGATACCGTCCAATATGTAAAACATTTGAAGTGCATCCGCAGATACGTCCTTCCTCTTCTTGATCACCTCGCCCACTTTACACAAGCAGACAGGCGACTGAAAGCTCAGCAAGGTGCCAGATCCTTTCAAATGTTGCTGAGCAGTGACTGAGAGGAGCTCTGAGCTTCTCTTCGCTACTCTCCATGGCTCTTTGTATTGCGGTTCAATGTTGTATGAATAGATAGAGCCATTGTCTTCGGTGTGTATTGTAATCGGCTGGTCTCGACACGCAACGCCTTTTGTATATTCTGGCCAGATGCAACCCTCACTTAGCGACCACGCAGCCCAAGACCATGTCGGAATCCCTATCCTCGACGCATGGCCACTATGATATTCGCTACCGTCCCGTGGTTGCCACAGAAGAACATCCGACAGCCAATCCCTAGGTAATCCGCCGGGGAAATTATCATTGGAGGGACCCCACGTCCGCAAGACTCCTAAGATAGCTTTGAGTGTATCTTGTTTGTAAGTGAAGGTTCTCTGGCTGAACTCCTCGATCAAAGCCACATAGTTTGGGAGGAACGTCAAATTCCAGCTCTTGTCCGTGAGCTTTAATGCATCCAGGGTGATGAAGTCGCCAACTTTGTCCAATGTACTTGGCCTTTCCCGTTGAACACCCCATTTGAAAGGATTTTGTCTTTTCTTGATGCTGTCGGAGAGAATCCCAGCTTCCATAGCAATGTCTTCAGCACAGATCGAGTTGGCGCACCTAAAGTACATTTGGAAGTCGGTGAAGAGTAATATACGTTTGGACAGCAACTTCTCTTGCAAGGTCCATCCTCGAGTATTCCAGTTAAGGGTCATACTTGAGTTGAGATCACGAAAGGAGGGGAATGCAAGCGCAAGCTCCACCCCATTAATAACTGTTTCGGAGCGTTGAGTATAATGTCTCGGCCTGCTAATTCCTGGTAATCCCCAGTCCGCATCTACGAATGGTCAGTATCAGCTATGTTTTGCGTTCGGAGGAATTCAAAGTCAAAAAGACGCAATGTTTGATAGTGTGTGTGAGGGGAGGATAATAAATCAGAAGTTATTGAAACTTACGCAAGCCGGAAGCAGCTGCAATTGTCAAATTAGCATTGCTATATATCTCGTCCATCATGTTCAATTGACCGTCTCGATCTACCGCATCGTCTTGAATAATGCAAAGTGAGTCCACCCAGAGGTAGCGATAGCCGACCGAGCGAGTCACTTCAATTGCATCTTGTATTGTCCGAGGTAATAAATCTGGCAGGTCTATCGTTTCCACGCCGTCATTGTCGATTCGAACAGAACTTTTCAAACTCAGAGGCATCTTTGTTTTCATGACATCTTGCCCCCAGACATAAGATAGGGCAACATAGTAGGCCTTGTCGGTTGAGCCTCTCACAATTCTCATGTCGTCGACGTCGATCAAGCGAAGGCCTTCCCGTAAAAACCGTCTTGACGTCTTCTTTCCTAGACACACCCCAGAAGCTCCGTTGTGGTAATCATGGCATAAATCAAGCCACTTTCGACATAAAGAGAGATTCGCACGTTCTTGGTCCACGATCCTGCCATAAAATGGCCCATCACGTAGCGGCCGAAGGAAAACCTCCACGAACTCTCGCGGTCCCCTCTCCCAGTATACCACAAATTGATATCGCGACTCGGCGTGCGTTCTTTCGGCTTGAGCGTGAAGATCGAACTCATTTGAGTAATCTTTCCACCTGATGCCATGATACTCGTTATAGCTAATGCAGCATTTCCAACTTTTCCGATTCGAGAGCATGATCATAGACTTGCTAGGCGGTATTTGTGCGTGAGAAGAGAAGCCATCATGAACCAGACGACAAAACGGACACTGGGTTCTTTTACATATCTGCTCCCAAGAACCTAGCAGCGCCAGTGGAGCGGTGCTGAAAAATTTGCTTTCGTAAAGGTATTTTCGGAAGTCAATGAGTTGACATGTGGAGCAGAGCGATTTCGACATTTTGATCCAAGTGGGGTCTATAAACAAAAAGAACGTCAAGTAAAGAGAAATCCCAGATGTTGTTAGGTGGTATAAGTTGCCGTGAAAAGATTCGAACAGTGTGCTTTTCATCAATTACAAGTGAGAAAGTACAGCCTCATGATGTAGATCCTTGAGGAGGCGCGCATACTTGGCGGCAGGGAGCGCAAAATACAAGCATAAAAAGACTATGTGGCGTTACGAGCTCAAACATTGAGAGTCGCTGAGAGGAAGAAGGCATTGGTGTGGCGCAAGCTACAATCCAAGGTGGCAAACATCATGACACTGGAGGCACCAATCACGTACGATTGTAAGGCTACTCGGTCTGTCAGATCATAGCTGCATGACTGATGATCGCATCACGTGAACCGGAGGTGGTGTGTCAAATCAACAGCGAGGCTTGATTATGTGATGATCTTTGCTAAATAGTCACACCTGTGTGAGACAAGCTAGCGCAAAAAGAATGATCATGATAAACTCAGAAAGAGGCATGTCGTTGAAGCTCCTTAGTCATCTCCAAATCGAGACTGTGTTTTGACATAGGAACTTTATTGTCAACTATTATTATTCATTGGTGGTATGTTAGCTCAAAGGCTGGAAGGTACAGTTGATAAATGGACCCATTATCCTCTTGTAATCATCCCCCTTCTGTATATTCTACCCTTTGCTAAGTGGATGTTAATTCAGGTTATTGGAGAAGGTTGTTAATTCAGGTTGAAACTTTTATCCTGAATCTAAGGCCAATGAGTTAGCCGCAGTCACGCGCTTTAAACGTTTCATAGGCGTCTTTTCTCGACGAATCAAGGTGAGTTTACGACCAACTTTGGATTAGGCAACAGTAGCCTTACTTTCAACCCACTCTCAATTTCTGGACTTCGTGAAAATGAAAATACTTACTTGACAAAATTGATCACTATTCATACAATCTAAAATGTCTTTCTGCGCGACATGTATTAGGGTAGACATCCGTAGTCTCGTTCGTATCTGCCTGTTCCAATGCCGAGACAAACAGGAAGCTCTGTCTGGTTCCGGCGAGGAAGGCCATGATTACAGCCTCACTGAGTATGAGGGCTCCCAAGTTGATCACCACGACGACATTTTCGCTGTTGAGAGATCAAGCAGAGACTGCGAGCTTTACAATGTCATATTCCAAGCTTTCACGAGAACCACTTGTCAAGATTTAGAGGTTGCGAGAGGGTTGCAAGTTGTCTTCCGTGCGTATGGGGGTAGAATTGAAGTATGTTATGATACGAAAGCCGAGGAACGATTGATTAAACTATGCGGTCTTGATGCATACATGGATGCGCGCGATGGTGGGTATTACCTGTAAAATTGTGTAATGGAGCTGATTTTCTGGGTAGTGGAAGAAGTTTTCCACAAGTTGTTGGAATCAAAGAGGATGGCTCACCACTAATTTTAAAGAAGATGGAAGAAGATCCAAGCTCCAAAAGATCACTTGAAATTGCTTCACGCTGGTTGAAGAATTGTGTAGAGGGACATCGTTCGTGCAGACCTCCCCCTGAGATGCATAGACCGCCCAAGTGGCTGATGCGAGTCGACAGCGAGACTCGGAATCTCTTTCTGATAGAAACATCTCCTGAAGACCAACACTTGGAATGGCTCGCACTGAGCTACTGCTGGGGGGGAGATCATTCAAGAAAACTTACCAAGTACACTATGGTTGAGTTCAAGAACGGGATAGCTTGGGACGATTTCGATCCTACGATTCGAGACGCGGTATCTATCACTCGAGCTTTGGGTATTCCTTACATTTGGATTGATGCACTTTGCATCATTCAAGACACTCCAGAGTGGAGCGAAGAGGCTTCCAAGATGAATGAAGTCTAGGGAGGGTCAACAGTGACTCTTGTCGTTGCCAGTTCCAATTCTGTGAAAAACGGATTCCTTCAGAGACGCGACCTCAACTACATTCATGTTCCATACTCTAGCAGTCTAATGGAAGATGAGAGACAAAAATTGTTCTTGTCACCCGAATGGGACGATAAAGAACGCGAATATGATGGACCTTGGAGTCAGCGGGGATGGACAATGCAAGAATGTTTACTCCCGAATCGCTTACTACACTACACTACCTCTCAAATGATTTGGAAGTGCTGTGAGGAGCAGATATTCGAGAGGGGTGTAACAGAAAGTGTCGAGGATAAAATATCTGAAGCAACGGGTGAAGATGACGACATATCATTTGAGTCTTCATTTCTCTGGCAATTACCACCATTCATACGATTCAAAAAGTTAAGAGCTCACTTAACCACCAGTTTGGATTATCCATTATGGTCGCACTCGGATACATTTCGTTTGTGGTATGACCTAATCGAAGATTATACACAAAGGAGATTTACAAATATCGACGATCGTCTCGTAGCCATCACAGGTCTGGCCAATATATATTGCGAGACGATTCGAAGACCTACGTACGTAGCTGGGGTGTGGAAAGAGGACCTCCTCCGAGGACTTTTGTGGCATGTTGAAGGTGCAACGCTAGTCCCCGCAACAATTCTCGACGCTTTTCCATCCTGGAGCTGGGCCAGTGTTGGATATGAGGTTGTTAAAAATGACTTGAAGACTAAGAATAGTCTCTGTGCTCTGTCAAAAATCGAGGAAGCAACAAGTGACAGAATCACGATAACCGGCCCTCTGAGGAGATTACCAAGGCTGTATAACGATGAATGGAAATCAGCAGACGCATCGGTGTCAAAACTTGAGCGCCATATTTCTGAAATCATCGAGAGGGAAAGTGGAGGAAATGTTGCATCCAAGTACTGTTCTCCGCCTGGAGGTCATTTTAGTGTCTTAAAGATGCTCGACAAAAACCCGTTGCATCTACTTGTCTTGGAAGCTATGGAGAAGACACCGGAGGCGGAGGGTATTAATAAATATCATCGAGCTGGAGTACTCAAACTCGATTGCACTGATCTTTCATGTATAGCATCGCCTGAGTTTATTGCCCAAATCGAGGAGATAGAAGCAACTTCATTTACTAAGAAGCTCGGCCTGGATAAGAAGACACGCACGACACCATTCACTTCCAATGCGCTATATATGGAAATAATGGAGCAGAAATGGGCTGAGGAAACAGTGGTGATAGTCTGAATGAGCGGCAGCAGCATTCAATCAGGGGTGTTTTGGATACCTATAGCGAGGATTTAGAAGACTTCAATATTCGAAGCATTGATTGTTTGATGCCATCAAATGTTGGTAATCTCTTAACTAGGTGGCTCGCGTTATTTGTTCCTTCTTTTCCTTGAGCCCAGTGATAGTCTCGCTATGTTCCTTTGACAGAACCGCTTTCGCGACAAACAAAGTGGCAATAATGCCACAGAATGAGAAGCATGTATACATGATCCACAAGTTCCGTAAACTGACCGCGAACGCATCTTTAACAGCTCTGTTTTGGACTGGATCGGTCAAAGTGTGTGTGATCATAGCATTCGCTGCTGCATTTTTGCCTGAGAGTAGCCCCGTGATATTGGCGGAAATTCCAGCAGCACGAAGATTAGAGGCTTGGGTATCCATCGAATCTTGGAAGACTACTCCACCCAGGACAACTGAGATAGCCAGACCGACAGAGCGGATAAATGCGAAAGAGGAAGTCGCTGTCCCAACATCTTCTTGGGCACACGTGGCTTGCAGCGCCACCATTGGAGCCATGGTCAGTAAGCCACTGCCTAAACCGACGACCACTTCAAAAGCGGTTATATGTCCAGTTGAGGTGGTCGAGTTCAAGAAAATGTAAAGTCCGGTTCCAAGAGTGAGAATGACAGGCCCCAACCAGATGAGTTCTCTGTACCGTCCTGTCCGATGGATGAAGAGACCGGATGAAATATTTGTGAGCGATATGGTAACGAATAGCGGAACTAATAGCGTGCCTGATTTCAAAGCCGAAGCCTCTTTGACAGACTGAAAGTAAAGAGGCAGGTAATACTCGGGACCGACAAACGAGACCGCATGAAAGAAGACCACTAGAAGAATGGCGACATTGGATGGCTGGGTAAACAACTTCAAGGGTATCAGAGGGTACTTCGCAAGTCTTCTCTCGCTATAAATGAAGAGGATGCTGCAAAATACACCAAAGACGATCAGACAGATGACCTTGGGTGATGTCCAAGCGAACGTGTTGCCACCAAAATCGAGTCCCAACAGCACCATGATGGTGACTGCAAGGATGCTCACTGTTCCAGCCCAGTCGATTGCTTTAATACCATCCACGAGTGGCGTCTTGGGATTGTGAACGTCCAAGAACAATGCGAGAAAAATGAGAGAAAGGCCGCAGCAGGGAAGATTAATCCACCAGCACCATCTCCAGGACGCATAATCCGTCAGAACACCACCAAGTACGGGCCCTATCGCCCCCGCGATTACCCATATAGCTTCACATAATCCAAGAAACAAACTTCGTCGTCTCATGCTGAAGATGTCGCTAATGACAATATCGACCATCATGAAGATTCCTCCACCCGCTGCACCTTGAACGGCCCGGCCTACAATAAGCATGGTCATGTCAACCGCTGCCGCGCAAAGGACACTGCCGCACAGAAACCAGGCAACGGCAGCTAAGAACACGATCTTGCGACCCCAAATGTCTGACAACTTTGCCCATATTGGAGTCCCTGCTGCAGCAGCAATCAGGTAGGCACCGCCAATCCAGGCGTAGCCAGAAGGAGAGTGCAGCTCTGAGGCAATGGTCGGCACGGCAGTAGCTACGATAGTATCGTCGAGAGCAGCGACGAAGAGTGACAAGTAGCATGCGATAAGGGTCATCGTGATCCGAACTTTGCTACGAGCAACAGTGACATCTCCTTGTCCTTGTTCAACCTCAGCGGCAGGAAGGTGAATTGGTGACTCGATGTGGTCCTCGTGTGGTCGATTGAGGGGAATAGGCGTGATAGCATCAAGCTGAAAAGTATCAACGTTGACAGACTCCGCCATGGTTGTTTATAATGGATGAATATACTTGATAGAAGGATATATATTTGAGGAGTGAAAGTGTGGCCACAAGAGTCATTCTCTTTGAATGGGATGATTGAGCTACGAAGGAGAAAGGTTCCTCCGAGTCTTACTCTATTAGTCAGCGGCATGAGGCTACAAACCTTATTTTGTCTTTTCTTCAATGTCTCCTATCACAATTAGTTGCAGTGACCTACAATAAAGTCTTTCGAAGCATGAAGAGAAGATCTCGAATAAGAAATTGATTTCCTGTGGTGTGACCATTCAATTGGTGGTGGCTGGGATGGGGCGCATCGAAGCGAGCATCACAACCTCAACTCCAACAACATCGAACGGTTCAAGTACACTTATCACCGACAATCAAGATGTACACACCAAGTAACCTAGCAATGATCCGACGAGTACTTTACCATTCTCGAACTTCACTGCGACCCTCCGTTCTCGGATTAGGCTTGTATAATCACGTGTCATGTAGCATCACCTCAAGTTCCACTTCTAGACCATGGAAACGTATGAAGAACTAAACGGAATGTCTTACCTATCAATCCTCAGCGACAGCCTCAACCTTCAAATCAAACTTCACCATCTCGGAATCTTAACTTTTACCCCTCCACAACCCACCCCTCACAACGCTAGCCAACACACTATGTTCCATAGCCCTTTACCCAACCGAGTTTCGTACAACAAGTCTTAAAGTCTACTCCTTGTAACACACATCTTCCCTCTTGGCAACATCCCACCTCGTATTCCAACCTCATTGCCAAGATATCCCCAACCCCTCCCCTCATTCTCGCTACACAGAAACCAACCCCCTGTTCCACTACTTCCCCGCGCTAAAGGAGAAATTAATATAAATTCGGGGACCACATGTAACAGAAACTATGAATTAAGGCTTCTCTCGGCGGATACAGAGACATGAGAAACACGAGAATCGGTACCTGGCATGCAGACAAGACCATCACGAGACTTGTCTATGCTAGATCGAGCCAGGGGTTGTGCAGCATCGATCTCGTGTCTGTAGATGGCCGCTGATCGTGCATGTAGCGTTCGGGTCCCTGCGGAGGGGCTGCAGGAACGTTCGGTGCATAGGTACAAGTTTAGATCATGAGATGTGATGATTTTTCGACGGTGAGCGAAGTTGGATGACATTGGCAAGCTCAACGGTTTTGAGGTTGTGATGGGGAAAGATCATCAAGTAGAGGATGGTTGAGAATTCCAGAGTCATTTTTATCTCGTAGTATCTCGTATTATGGATGGATCTATAAGTATGAACAACTTTCCTCAATTCTGATAATCATCCGCAAAGACCTGCTCATCCACTTCAAGCAGACTCACAAAGACTTCCACTCTCAACAACTCTCAAAATGCAATTCAAAACCACCCTTCTTTCCCTTCTTCCCTTCCTCTCCACCAGCTTGGCTGAATCATGGAGCATCGAGAACTTCACCAGAGACTGCACCAATCCTAACAGTAATTCCTTTCCTACTCTTCACTCACCTTTCCCCCATTCCCTTCCTCTCGTTATTTTCCTCTCCTCTCTAATCCCTTCCCTCTTCCAAGAGAAATCTCCCCACGGGCTAACACATCAAAGTCTGCACCTACTTCTTCACCATCAACACCGGCTCCTCCACCCAACACTGCACCACCGTAGACTTCTACACCCCAGCTGGGAACCATTCCTGGTACGACACTCCCTGCGAAGAGGTATTTCCCCTTTCTCTTTCCCCCATCTGCCCCCACCCCAATTCCCCTCTGCCCCCACCATTTCCCACACAACTAACACAACCCCAGGACTCCAACTACCACATCTCTTGGGGCTGGGACTACCCCGGCGACTTCACGGTCCTGACCGTGGTCGACGAGGTCCGCCAACTCGAAGCTTTTTTCGGGTACAACGCTCCTAATGCCGTGAACCCGGTTGCCAGCTATCCGAATGTAGGGCCGAATGCTGTTCAGCCAACTGGGGCTAAGGCTGTTGCTGTTGTTGCCTGAGAAAGGAGGGATGATTGAACGGAAAAGGAGGGCAGAGGTAGAAAAGGGTGAATGAATTAATGAATGAAGATTATGAATCGTAAATCGTACTTATCGTGATACTGTTCATTCCGAAAAGTTGGGACTTTGAAATAAGTGACAAAAAAAAGATTACTAACCAAAGTCAGTATCAAGTGAACTAAACCTATGAGCGGGGAAAATTGTATGAAATTGACGGACATTGAAACGTGAGACGAACATTAAAATTCTAGTATTGAATGAATCGCACTTATGAATTAGAAAAGTCGTCAGAGAGCAGCGAACATTAAAACGTGTGAAAATTAAAAACTTTATATTGAATAACCTACACTTATGAACTACAAGATTCTCAGACTATGACAGACATTGAAACGTGTAACAAGAATCAAAAATCTTGTATTAAATAAACCGCACTTATAGACGAGGAAAGTGCTAAGAAAGTGACAGGCATTGAAATATGTAACGAAAATTAAAAACCTAATATTGAGCGAACCGAACTTATGAACAAGAAGCGTTCTCACAAACTGACGGACTTTGAAAGGTGATGAAATTAGTTAAGATCCGGCATAAAGTGAACCGGACTTATGAATTAAAACAACTCCCAGACTGTGACGGACATTAAAACGTGCAGCAAAAACTAAAATCCGATATTAAATGAGCCGCATTTATAAACTAGAACAATTTGCAGATTATGACGGACATTGAAAGCAGTAACAAGAATCAAAAGTCCGGTATCGAGTGAATCGGGTTTATAAACTAAAAAAGCCCTCAAAAGGTGTCGGACATTCTACTCTCAAAATATTAGAATATCGAAATAGTACATTAGGGTAGATGTATTCTCCCACGAAGTTTGGTACTTTTGAACCGTGGACGCAACTAAAAGTCGGGTACTTAATGAGCCGCACATATCGAGATGACATGTGCTCAACGGCTGACGGACATTAGAGAGTTTCTAAGTAAGAGAAATCAAAGATCTGTGTTAGTTACTACTATAATCTGATTCGCCCATAAAGTTTGGAACAGTCAGTATTCTAAATCAGCTAAAGTTTAGATGAAAATAGCACTCGCCATTACATTCATCGGATGTATAGAGATCTCAATCGTCACAGAAGTGTGGGACTTTGAGACTTGATGAATTTCATTAATTTAAATCAGCGAAAAAAGCAACGTATCTATGGGGACCATCCGAACGCCCTCATATGATCATAAAAGATCAGATAAACGCCTCCAACCCATGGGTATCTCGTCGTAAATTTTCATCCAGCAAACCATCCTGCGCCCGAATCTACCAGACCGTTCAATAAGCCCTTCGTCCAATCATCGCATCACAGGGTCTTTTTCCTATTGCCCAGCAACTTCTTTCGTCTGCCCACTGATGACGCCGTCCCAAGGAATGCCGAATCGTCATTTGAGCTATCTGCCGAGTCAAAGTTCTCGTGGCCGACAGTGATGATTTTGACGATATTTCCCAGTGCGACAGCAAGGCTGCTCTTGCCCATCTTTTGCAAGGGACCGAGTGAACTGACCAAAAGATGGTCTCGATCCTTGGACCCAAACAAGGGAGTTGTAGCACGCGCGCCAGCTGACGAAATAGACCATACCTCCCATGCCTCGTCCTCAGAGTTTCGACGTTCTAAAGAAGGCCTGTTTGGCCTCGCTCCTCTGCGGCGAACGCCAGTATTTGCGATTGGGTGCGACATCTCCTTGATTATGGACTCACACTTTCGAATGCCCACCAAATAGCCAACTTGAAGAGCTTCCCATTGACCAGGGTTCTCCACAACGTACTTGTTCTCAACAGTTTCACGCCACAAGCAGCAAGTCTTACTACCGGGGGTAAATGGATCCCGGAAACAAATGATATCGCCTTCGCGTTGGGGGAGGTATGACTGAAGGATAACGTTTCCAGTCTCTGCGCAAGTATAAGCGATGGCAAGACTTGCTAAGCCAACCGAGCCACATTGGGGTCGACGACGTGTGCTATGAAAACATCGGAGCGAATCTGGTTTCATTGGACTGGTCGTAAAGGTGTGGGTGACGTTCAGAGTTCCGATGTCGATTAGGTCCACCGAATGCTTGCGTACAGCCAGAAAGCAGCTCAGGACTGGTAATGGCACAATGGATACGACCTCCTTGTCATCCTCGGGTTCGGGGACCTTTAATTCATTAGACACCCATCCCTCCTCTAGCTGCGATGCGATGTGAACACATCCCTTTCTCGAAGAGGTTATGAGACGTGGTGGCGGGTCGGGACTGCCGGTATGTGGCTTCTCGAAGTGCGGGCGAACACAAACAAGTGGACTGCGGCAAATCTGAATTTGCCTGCTGTACTCATCGTCCACATGGAGCTCAGTCATAAGCCCATTATGGCGGACAACAACAACGGGGTCGACGAATTCGTCCTTGTCATGGCCAAAGCAGAAGGTAAGTGGAGTACGTCCTTTCATTTCAACATGCATTGATCGACCCCATCTTCTCTCCGGGATGTTCCAGAGGAAGACCAGATCTTTGCCAGATAGAATTGCCAGCCAGTTCGAGTCTCTGTCAATAGCCACTGCTAAGACTGGAAACGGGTCGATGCTCGACTCAAAATCTCGAACGATATAGCTCATGACTCCCTTGCGGACATCCCAAATGCGAATCCATCTATCCAAGCCGACGGTCGCCAAGACCCCATCTCGTGAAGTTGCCAGTAGCATGATGTCTAGACTATGACCTCCACTCAAAGTTTTGACAGACAGAAGGGGATCGTCTTCTCTTTTCTCGCTATCATTCTCTGAAGGCTCGTTCGAGAGCAGATGGTTCATCAAGAGGCAAACGGCAGCAACTATAATCGTGACTGAAAGGACGAAAGCGGTGAATTGGTTCCTCGCAAAGTCATAAGCAGCAGGCAGGAACCGTCGAATACCCTGATCATTCCGCGTTCGATTTGATCCTTCTAAGACGAAAATAAGGGGATCGTAGACCCTGGCGATATAACTCGTGGCGTGTGGTTTGACTACCTGAATGACTTCGTGGGCTGTTTCGTGATCCTGCATTTGAAGCCACGCAGTTGGTGTCCTTGCTTGATTGATATCGACAGACAGATGAGAAACTGCAGCAGGTCTCGCCGTTTGTGCATACGATGTCCAGATCATAAAGAGTCGCAAAATCGTTTGGCTCCATGATTCGTAATGCAATTGTGCCATGAGTATCGATCCTACCATCACAATAGGTCCAGCAATTCTGGTTGACGCATTTCCATCAAAAAAAGGTCCAAACCATGTTTTTCGCGGCTGGGATACTGGTGTAAAAGAAGTGCCATTCCTTGTTGATGCCCGTGACAAAGCATCACTTAATTCTGTTCGACGTATGTCAACACTAAGAACAGGAGTGAAAAACGTCAAGAGATAGAAAAAGTCGAATAGAATGGCGATGCCTGCAAAGGCACAGAGTGCGACAATTGGCGGGAAGTTTTCGCAGAGTTTGTATGTCATATAGAGCAAAGATGCATTCAAGGCCAAAGAAGTTAGTGCAATGTGCCCAGTCTGACCGAGCGCTTCGCCAATTCTAACATCTTTAGGGGCTGAGGGTGGGGTCAAGTTCACGGCGTTGATTAGGTTGAAAATATTACCCAGCCCAATTCCCATGATGACAAGAGGATATGCTGCTCGAGGCATGTGTGAGAGGTCGATCTTCCAAACGGCGCAGACAGTGAAGCTTGACATAATAGAGACTGCCATCTGGGTCGCAACGGCGAGAAGTAGACCAGCTCGGGATTTCAACGCAGCGAACCTGGTGATGTTGAAGATGACGTACACTGCCATAAGACTATACACCGATGCCAGCCAGACATCGTCATTCAAAGAAAGTGGCTGAAATCGGAACTCGTATAATGTGCTGATTAAAGACCGTCCTTCAGCGGGGAAGGTTTGCCATTTTCCGCCGTGTCGGAGTGCCAATTGCTCAGCCTTACGCTCCCATTGTCGCCCCACAGGGGAATCCAGCATATGGATCAGGGTAATGACCAGAGCATCTGCGGCAACGAGTCTGTGATCTTCGAAACGCTTGCCACTAAAGACAATAGAATGTCGAAGAGTGACATTGACCGATGTTGATTGGTTGGACTTTGCATTGACAGTAGAAATGATGTCTTCGTCTGATGCTATTTTCTCCAATGAAGATGACCAGTATTGCAGAGGCGAATGATAAAACCAAGATAAGTTCGTTAAGCCATTGATGGCATGTAGCGTATCTCGATCGTCAATTGACAAATCGGTGAAAGGATCGTAGGCTTCGAGCTGATTAGATGGTCTTTTTGGGGCAAAGTCGACAGTGGGGCCCAATAGCTCGTCCTGAACTTCAAGGGCGCTGCGTAGGACATCTTGTTCTAATGCTTTCATATAGCTTCCTATAGTACCTTAGTGAGTGGCACAAGACTAGAGCTGCAGAAAGTCCCTACCATGGATCCACACTGATCGCATAACAACATCGGGACGGGTATTCGGGGGGCCGCCATATGGCTGTGCAGATGTCCAGACATGGTGCGGAAGGTTTGATGATCCGTTGGTAAAGTTATTAGTGAACAGCCATGGTATCGGATAAATCAGGATCGAGGCTACAGTGACGGATACGAGGAGCCATCGCACAGGATGTTGTGCGGCTAGATAGCCGCATCGTGTAAAGAAGGATCGAATGGGATGCTTCGGTTCGAGTTTAGGAGGTTCGGTCGTTCTGTGCGCGTCAGCTTTAAACCACCAGAGTTTTCGAAAAGTAATGGATGAAGCGACAGAAAGGTTTAGCATACCCGCGGATGGGGTACAAGAAGAACCAGAGCATTGCCGCTGAATGGTGGTTGACCTTAGAGGTCAGTACCAAAGACGAATCTCCTAGGGAAGTTGCTGAGGTAAGTTAGTTGCTATCTACTCCAAGATGCATCTGTGTCGATGCTATTCAGTAGTTGGCATCAAGATTGGCACGGACAATCAGTGTTAAAGTGCTTGCTTGGCCCGCCAGATTGGTGTTGTACAGATCATGGTGGTGCGCGCGGGTCTGCGAGAACGGCCGTGTCGGGAGGCTAATGGCGTGACAGTCCTCACTCTAGTCGCATAGCGCACAAGTGAATGCTGCGCAGAGGTATTGAGTCTCTTGCAAAGACGTTGACACTCGAGTTCGTGGTGTTGATGGATGGAGGTTGCAGAGAGGGAGAGAAGACGCGGGCAGCTTTTGATTGAAGATCCGTTTGTGAGACATGCGGCGGACCAGGAAGGAGCGACAACCGAACCGTAGCCTGACGCTAGGAAGCGGCCGCTTCTTCCCCCCAGCCAAAGAGGAAAGCACGATTTCTGATGACCAATTGCTCCCTCTTTCTTTTTCCCACTCCTCTCTTCTCTCTTCTCGAGTGACACAACCGCAGAAAAAGAAGATGATCGATCGGTGATGTCAGGAGATGCAGCAAATGTGGTCCGAGCACTTTTATATATCGAAAATTCTTCGGACTGGGGTTGGGAATTGCTTTGCGCTTGGTAGTGAAGACTTACCAAGTAACCTTATATATGGGCCTACCGTTCCTCTTGTCCGAATGCGAATGCCGAGTAAATAAAATCTATATCTTCTCATATCAACTCTTGGGCCATCTTTGGAGTCTAAGATCCAATTTTCTGCTCCGAGGCGCGGATGCCAGCGGTTTCGTTCCTGGGAGCTTGGGGCAGGCAGTTGCCGGTGCCAGGGCTGCCGTGTGCTGTGGTACACGAGAAAAGTCATATTCTTCACTCACCAATATCTTCCATTCGTCCTGCAGTATCCTTCCACCATCGTGAAAGCACCGACAATGTGTCCCCAGCCATGGAACGAATCATGTTGCAATGCAGCTAGGTCCAGACTGCTACAGACTCTCTCCCCTGTTCCCCTCTTCATGTCGAGCGAGCAGCAAAGCAATTTCGTGGAGAGGCACGCAGAAGGAGAAAGTGGGCGTCGGTCCAGAACAATCAGCAGGAAGCGTTTGCGATCGTACAGCAGCAGTTTCGGTGCGGCTTTCTTCCTTCAACCTCGCACAGGCAGACAGGCCTTCTATATATGTTCTGAAATGAGCGACAACATGCATTGCAAATCTCATTGCTATTCTAGAATCGCATGCTTCCTGACACAACTCTGACGATAGAATCAGCCCACTCTGGCCAGTGTCTAGAGCTGAGTTGCGTCGATAGGCGAATCTACACCCCAGCAGCGGAAAGGAAGCTTAGGAGAATATTGGGAAGTCCCTGGCAAACGCCACACATCTCATCCGTGCCAATACCACGTCGTCCACGACGTCGTCGTTCCAATGAAGGAAGAAGCCGTGATGGCTGTGTTTATGCATTTGTTTGCAGCGATAAACATTTCAGGGTCTGAACTGGGAGATAATTCGTTGCTGCAGAGTCAGCACATGCACTGTTCCAGATGCGCACATGTTTGTCTCACTCTCATCCAAATCTCTGGGCGTCATCATGGACATCATTGCACTTTCACCGCTTGTTAAGCCGTCCGCTATCTGGTCCGTAGGATCCTTTTCGTACATGTTCCTCACTGGACATTCTTTGAAAATTGCAGTCCGCTTCATGTATTTGTCACTTTGGGGTAAATAGATTAATAAGCAATTTTAGTGCTCTTAGGAAGAGGTACTACAATTCACAAGTACGACATGATAAAAGAATAAATAATATACGCAGGTCTTACAATATGAGATTAGGTCTTCCACAAATTCCTTTCAGTATCTTGATTAAAGTCATGTCTTATACAGCCCAGGGAGGCAATGGGGGACATTCTACTCAACATGTCACATGATAGCCAATGGCGCTTTGAAATTCCTCAGTCTTGCTCTTGCTCTTTAAATAAAAATCCAGATACCCAACATGTTTTTTTCTAAGGTATAATTCAGGACGAGACAATGGAACTTTGATTCACTTGAAATCCCTCTCAGTCACGTGTTAGTACATACTGAAAAACTTCGTGGATTGACTCAGCAGGCAGGAGCATAAATGGAGTGCAAAAAGGCACCCATTCTACGTCTGCATTCTTTTCGGTCTAAAACTATTGCAGCCAATACGCGTTCGATGCGGTGGAGGCAACCTATTGGTTACTCGAAAGCGGCGAGCTCTGGAGCTCAGAGCCTAAGCCTAATTAGGCCCTGGTCTGCACCGCGGATGCAAACGCCCCAACGTTGAGTGCAGCAACTGCAACCCTTATCAAAATGAAAGAAAGGCAGCTATGCAAGTATTTGACATGTACCGCTCTCACTCTCATCTTCAGTTGCTTGCTATTCCCATCCACTCACGCAAATTTGCATGTGCAGATCTTGTATTGATGGCAACAGGTCTCAAAGACAAAGATGGCGAATTGCTGGAGAAGCTGTCACATAAATATAAAGGTTTGTATGTCCCTTCACAATGACAAGGGGGTGTGGCGCTATTATATAGATGCTCAGGCGGAACGAGAAAATGAGGAAGACTCCATGAGTCGAATCGGAATTCTCGAATCTCTAAAAGAGAGGACATTAAGTCCGGTTAGTTTCTCTTTACTCGCTTGACCTTATCTTCGTACCTACACGAGGGATTTTTTAGAGGTATCGTAATAAACACTCGAGCCGTATTCCGACTTTTGATGCTCACAGCCTGCCTAGAAAGCTGGAAGTTTTGGATTCTATTTCAAAGATTGCGCTTTTAATCTAGGTATCTTACGATGAGGATTATATTGGGCGCTATTCTCTGGGCAATGCAAATTGTTTGCCATTCGAAAAGTATAATCTGCTCAATTATCAGTCTCGGTCACGTGACTTTAAGCTTCCATTGAAGATATTGTTTCTTGAGTTGGAATGTTTTAGAAAGACAGAAAGATAAGAGAATAGGAAGTATTGACATGTCTTGGTTAAACGTCATTATACCGCTAGATGTATATCTCAAAACCTTGATGCAACATGTGACTCAGTTGAAATGTCAAGGCGAGGTCTCAACGACTAGGTCAATTAAGGACTGATATGTAAATTATCTACAAGGAGGGAAGAGTTCATAAGGAATTTCTGATGTTACTTACATTGTGGGCACGCTAAAACTAGGGGTCCAAGGCTGGATGATGCTTTTCAGTCTGACTTCATATCGTCACGTGAAAGAAAGGTCCAACACCTCAAAATCCAAATAAACATGTATTACGAGTTGTTTGTAGTGTCCTTGGGTCGAAAATATTCTGCTCTTTTCTCTGCTGAATCCCAAAATACCAAACTTTCCAGGAGTTAAGATTGAAATAACGCCTAAGTACAACGCAAGAAAGAAATCGTACCGAAACGGATCAGCCCACATGTCCACCGTAGTCCAGTTCCCACCCATATTGCATCCTTTCTAAGTTCATTTAAAGTCCATAAGATCGAGCAACTTAGTGTACCATGAAACATCAATCTCAATCACTCGCTCCCTGCAAACTCTCAAGATCGCACAATACTCCTCATAGTTGCTTATCACCGATTCCTTTTCAACTGCCCCCTCTTGCCAATCTTTCAATTTAGACTTGTGAAATTCTAGCTGCTTTTCGATTATCGTAAAATAAGCACAATCCATGAAGTGAATAGTCTTGGGTCTGGAATGGCATTGTTCAAGCTCAATCATTCGGGCCTGAGCACTCAACCAAGATGATTGTCTCCATGCAGCACGCCATATCTGAACCCATTCCGACGGTGAGGCAGCGCTGGGAGCATTTTCCCGTGGGGTTGCTCCAGTTTTCAAGAAAGCCTTCGTCAGAGCAATCTGATCATCATTTTTGAGCCAGTAGAGCATATCGAATAGACTCTTTCCAGTTGATGTTGGCATCATGATGTCCGCTCCTGCCTCAACGAGGAGTAGAGTAACCTTCACTAGCTCGGAACGCATACGCCTGGTTTTTTGAAGCCAAATCTCTAATGGAGTGGCACCTTCGTTGTTTGTCTGCACTAGGCTCGCACTCCGAGAGATGAGAGCGGCAGTCATCTCATATACACCCCGGGGCAGCCGTTTGAGAATTAGATGCAAGGGATAATTTCCAGCATCGTCCTTAACATCTATGTTCGCACTTTGTATAAGTTGCCGCAAGAATCCTTCGAACTTGGCATGTTCTGAGAAATAATGTATTGAAAGGCATTGAATGATGAGAGGCTTTGAGTCAACCATAGTGTCTGAATCAGCACCGGCTGTCAGAAATTTCCGGAGACAGTCATACTCTTCTGAAAACTGTCCCCGCCAAGTATATCGAAGAGCAAGTATTTTACTCTGAGTCAAGAAGACATGAATAAGGGTCATGCCGTTTCGCATTGGCGATGCTACGTCCGGATTATGGTCAAGAAACTGGGAGAGAAGATTTAGATACCGTAAAGACCTTGGTAGCGCTTCCGATACTACTCGGTGTAATGGTGACTCGCCAAATCGGTTGATGATATTGACATCAGCGCCAGAGGAGAGAAGCGAGCTGATCAATGTCGTAGCATCTTGGTCATCCCACCAGTCTTTAGTATTGAGCAGAAAATGCAAAGGTGTGTTTCCTTCATCATCTTGAGGTGACAGAATTGGCGAACGCTTGAGCAAAAGCTGAGCAAGCGTTTTTGAAGCGATCGCTAGGTGGAGAGGAGCCCTTCGTTTGAAACCAGTAGCGTCGATATCAGCCCGGTAGTTGAGTATGGAATTGACAATAGCGACGTTACCCTTCAAGATTGCTGCATGCAAGGGTGTGTTGTTATTCGTATCTCGCATGCGAATAGATGTGCCGCTAAAAAGCATCTCTGTAACTTCTTCTTCATCTCCATTTAATATAGCATCGAAAAGGCGAGACCGAGATGTGAGATCCGATTCTTGAGCAATGCCAGTGTTTCCAGTCGCCAGGCTATCATGCAAATTCGAATTCTCGATCGCATTCGGATCTGAGCTGTTGAAGCTGTGGCGAAGGCCGCTAGAGAGGGGTGTTGCCCAAGTGGTAGGCACTTCCAGTTCAGCAACTGACGGCACGCTTCAATGACATCGGATTAGCAATTCGCACTCTCTCTGGTTTGAAATTATATTACCCTGGCACAGTTCTTGTCTGTTGCGCAGTATTGAGCGTTTGTACCACCAGGCTCGAGTCCAATTTCGTTTTCTTTGCAACTTGGCGTCGAGGACTGGCTTTTTTCTTGAGCATATTCCATTTTGCAAGCTTGGTTCGATAGGTTCTGATACTATATGACATTAGAGTGTGCGCTTGAGCAAACCTTTGTTGGAATCTAGATTAGCTTACGAGGCGTGGCAGTTATGTCTGCCTTCCAAAATTCGTTGCACATCTTCTAGAGACCTTCCATCTGCGATATACAGCGAGTGAATTTCGCTCTTATAGTGATCTAGAAGTTTGGCCATATCTCCCAATGCCTAGGTAAGCTGACATCCAGGACGACATCAACCTGGAAGATGTTGTCGAAGCCTGATCACCTGATGCAGCCTCATGGAAACTGCCCAAGTTGCAGTTCGACAGGCGGTTGCGATACAGCGCATCTCACCGACTTCCGAAGCCACCAAATACCAATCATTGTGTCGAGAAAAAGCCCAAACACAGGGGGCGGCGCCTTGCAGCGTCGGTAAATCGTGCAATTGCACAAAAGCTGCACTAAAGTGTGCAAAATTACACTTTTTGCAGTGCGGTGTTTTTCCCCCTTCCGGGATTTCATGGCCTCCTCACAATATGAAAACAACTCGCTTATAGTCACGATTTGCACTCCAAAAACTGCACTTTCAAATAACAGTACATTTCGCACAATGAACCCACCAATCTCCTTCCACCTTTGCTCGTCCCCGTTCCAAGTTCGAATTTAGAGAAACATAATGCTTTTGACAACTGGGTGTCGTCCCGTGTTGCCCTGCTCTGCCTTGTGTTATGGAAGTTTAGTTCCATCCGCACATAAATTCAGTGATCCCCCTCCTCCCTCCTCCCTCCAGCTAGTACAGTCACTTCTCTCCATTCTCAACAGTCGTATCTTAAAATCGTCGTCAATCGGAAGATTTCTCGATTTGTTTTTGTCTCGTATCCACTAGACTCTTTCAACTCTTTAGTAAATTCGTCTAACAACTTTGATTCGAGATTATGCATCCTGCCCATTCTGCGCCTTCGACGAGCGGCTTCTACGACGCCAATGTCCCCACGTACGCTACTTCCTCTTCCCTTCTCATGTCATTAATATGTATCCTTTCTTGACTTTATACTTCCCCTCAATATCTCTCGACGAAGTTTCATGTCTAACTCCTTCATTTGTGCTAGTGAACTGAACGACAGTTCCTTCCTACCAGACCAACTGACCCATCCTTCCACCATGAACACCACTGCCTCTGCCCATCATCCTCAAGACGACTTCACCACTCTGCATCTTCCCTCTACCATCGAAGCTTCAACGCCTGGTCTCTCTGCCATTCAAGCTGCCAATAATGCGCAGGCAGATCACACACTCCTCCTCCTTCATGAAGAACCACAACAACGACGAAAGAGGAACAGGTCCTCACGAAAGCACAATGGCACTCAACTCATATACTCTCAACGCCGTAGCAGTGTCTATCTTCTGTCGTCGACAGGCCATGCCCACCCATACCCCATGCATATAAAAGACGCAGACCTTGAAGATACTCCAGCACATGGTCAAGATCAGGTGGTACAACTACACCTCATACAAGTACAAGTTGGCGATTGTTCTTCAGTGGAACATGATCTCATTGGCATCGGGGCTCAATTCTCTCAATAGATATAGACAAACATTTCATTTCAGGTGGAGGCAAAGGTTAACAAGCGACCCAACACAGGGTGGAGGTTCAGATTTTGCTATAGGATTAGGAATAAAAGTATGTTCGCGACGTTATCTTGCTGTCGCTTAACAATTGTTTTTTTCCCACCCTGTGAGGGTTGAGTTGTGTAGTAGAAGCACTAGTCTCGCGCAGGTATCGCTACTTTCACATCACCAAACAAATCGCCTGACTAGATGCTATCTACAAGATAACAATTAGAGAATTGACTCCGAAATTTTATCACAGACAATCATAGCATCTCACCACCCCACCTCAACTATAACCCCCCAACTCCCTCTCCGTCCACCCCCACAACTCCTCCTGCAACCTCTCATCCATCGAAAACTTCGTCCCCTCAACCCTCTTCCCAACCGGCTCATACACCTCCCCACTCCTCATCCCCTCTCCCTTCCCCTTCGTCGCCGCCCAAAGCGTATTAAACGCTCCCTCCCTCACAGAAATATTCTTCAACTTCAACGTCGCTCCTCTAATAACCAATTTATCCAACAACCCCATATGACCCGTCAAACTAGTACCCATCACTAAGCCTGGATGAACGGCTATGGTCGTGATATCCGGGTAGCGTTTCGCGAGCTGGGAGGCGTAGAGGACGTTTGCGAGTTTGCTTTGGCCGTAGGTTAGGAATTTGGCTGCGAATCCTATGTTCCAATATTATTAATTTCGGATCACAGCTGAATGAGATGAGAGATATACCAAGATTCGCCTGAGTGCTCTTCAAATCCTTAAACACAATCCCCCCATTGGAAGGCGCACTCTTAAACGCCAACGAAGTCAACAACACAATCCTCCCCTCACCACTCTTCCTCAAAGCCGGCAAACAAAGATTAATCAGCAACGCATGCGCTAGATGATTGACCGCGAATTGGATCTCATAGCCATCTTTCGATAGTCCGAGCGGGATGGCCATCACGCCCGCGTTGCAGATCAGGACATCTAGTTGCTGTTCAGATTTCTCGAGGAAGAGCTTGGCGCCTTCAGAGACGGAGGTGAGGGAGGTTTGGTCCATGGGGATGAAGGTTAGATTGTTGAATGTGGGTTGGAGGGAGGCGATGAGTGTGTTTGCGGAAGAGGTGTTGCGGCCGGTGAAGTAGATGCGTTTTGGGTTGTGTTTGGAAAGTTGGATTAGGGCTTCTTTGCCGACGCCGGCGGTGCCTGAGCTTCTGGTTAGAGGGTGATGTTACGTGGCAGGTTTTGAGTATTGAAATACTTGCCGCCAGTGACGAGAAAGACTTTTCCGCTGAGATCAGGAATGTCTTTGTCCGGGTTGTACCTGAAAGGCATCTTGACGCCGAATTTGTTTTGAGACTTGATCGAAAAAATTCTCAGATGAAAGTCTTTGAACAGTTCTAGAGTATGCTATGAAAGAGTAAAATGAAATATACATAGCAGGAGTATGAGAGTATATATACATTGACATTCGTTCGTATGCCTTCCCTTAGCGAGACCCCTTGAACCCATCGCTTAGCGAGTCGGGAGAATTGTCCAACCTTTACATCGGACATGCGGCCAGACTCCAAACCTCCGATATCTCGTCATGCGCGCCACGACTTGTCAACTCTGGAGGCTGATGCAGCGTGTGTACTTGATTTCCTGTCGAGAATTGTATGAATTGATCGGTCCTTGAATATGGGAGTTGCGTGCTGTCACCTGATCATGATATTTTGCATCTAGCACTCGATTTTCAGCTTATTCGGCTTCTTTACTTCAAATCATGCGAAGTTCTATCAAGCTCTCGTACTGCCTCTATGATCTCTCTCTCTCTCTCTCTCTCTCTCTCACACACACACACACACACTAATGCTTTGAAATCAACGATTACCTGTCACTCTATCAAGAATTGCTCCGAAACCAATAACCGAGACCTGGAATCGAGATTGTTCCCATACCTAGTTATCCGTTCTTTATCCGCATGAGAGAGAAAACGGATATTACTGTCGCGACAGAGGTAGAAGTTAGTGAGAAGAGACTGTTTTTCTTCCACTTTTAGCCCGTTTACAGCTGTTCTTATTGAGTGGAAACGTGGACAAGGTGGACTTCAAGCTAAAAATTCAGACTGGTTGTGTATTCGCCCGCTCACTCGCATCTATCACTCTATGCACTCATAAAGACTCCCAAAAGACACCCACTCACCCAAAAACAACGTATCCTCAGCCAAACCAAAATCCAAACCTCAAAAAGAAGAAACCACGACCCTCACTTCCCCTCGCCCCTAACCAAAACATTATAATCACTCTCCAACCTCTCCCTCGTCGTCTTATACATCCTCGGAATCCCCGTTTCCTCAAACCTCTTCCCCCTCCCCACCATCTCAGCGACACCCTTCATAGTCAGAAAAATAACCGGCATCCCATGCCCCTCAAACCCCGCCGCAACAAACATCCCATCTCTGCCCGGAACCTCTCCCACGCTCGGATTCTCATCAGCATTATACCCCATAATGCCCGTCCAGATCCTCTCCACATACGCGCCCGACTCTTCCCATCCCGCGAAATTGTCTTGCATGTACGTATCGAAGTACGACGCTGCGTTCGGGATCAGTGTTGAATCGTCGGTGTTGCTGAGCCAGGAGGAGGTGTTGGATATGTAGTTTGGACGAGCGCCGCCGACGATGATGCTGCCGTCTTCGCGCTGGATGAGATAGTCGCCTGATCCGTTACCGAGGCGAAGGACGTAGGTGGAAGATAGTTTTGGTGGGGTGAAGGATGGGGGACAGACGATGCGGCAGCAGATTCCTTTGGCGGGGTAGATTTTCGTGCTGTATTCTGGGAGGAGGGCGGATGTGTAGCCGTTGGTTGCGATGATGGTTTTGCTTGCTGTGATGGTTCCGCGGGGCGTTGTGGCGATCCACTTTCCGGCAGTGATGGGTGATGGAGTGATTGAGGTGCATGGAGTGTGGGTTTGGAGGTTGAGGCCTTGGGAGACGGCACGGGAGAGTAGGCCCATCATGAGTTTGTAGGGCCATACTTGACCTGCGCTGGTCTCGACACAGGCAACACAGCCTTTGACACCAGAAACCTATGGATTTTGTCAGATGGTTCAAAATACATTCTAGGAGTCCACATACCTGCTCAGCATCATCTCCGTCAGTGAATACAATATCGTCGATCGTAGTCTTGGCAATACCAGCTTTCTTGAGTTCTAGGTAATCCTTCTTGGCAGCAGCCGCGACTTCTGGCTCAGTGTGAATATCAAATGATCTCGATAACTTAAAATCGCAGTCAATTTTCTCTTTCTTGACTACATCAGCAACAGCTCGAATATGATCAAACTCAAATTTTGCGAGCTCTTCAGCAGCTTCAAGACCATATTTTTTGATCCATTTCGTGAGGCGACTGTAGACTGATGGTCGGAGATGTCCACCTGGACTGCGTCAGCTATTGTTGAACAAAGGCGCAACATTTTGATGGTGAGAGTTCTGGCCATACCGTTTCTACCAGTAGCACCAGAACAAGCTTGACGAGCTTCAAGTAAGACGACAGATGGCTTTGCGCTCGGGGCTGTCTCCTCGTTGCAAAGAAGGTGATAAGCAGCGGTGATACCAGCATACCCAGCACCAATGATGAGTATATCGCATGATTCTGGTAGCTCTTCTGTTGTTCTATGGTCATCTAATTCATGTAGCTCAGTTCTCCAGAACGGAGTAATTGATTCCTTGCTCGGGAATGGCTTCGAAACCGGTTCATTGCTGCCCATCTTTCTGAACTTTACAAACTGCGATCAAAAATTTCAAGGCAAAAAAAGACGCGAAAGATTGCGATCAAAGTATGAAGAGGTTGCTGTTATGAGTTCGAGAACTTGCTCAAGAGGACCGACGTTCTGACCGCCGCTTCAATTTATGGATAGCTAGCGCTTCAACGACGACTCAACGTAAGAAAAGCGGGCAGGGGTGAAGGGGAACAAAGCGTAAAATGAGCTACCGCTTCCGTCTCATATGGTGACATTGTACGCTGTTTTTGTTCTATCTTTATGTTATCGTACGAAGATGATGTGGAAGGGGATGACAGAGTGGATATCTGATAAGACTTGCTTGCCCGCGCCGAGTACCTTAGCCGAAATCCGAACCGGTGTTGGGACCGATCATGTGATGGTGTTAGATAATAACACAGATAGAGTGAATGATCTCTGCTGAAGCTGTGAAGTATGTCCTAGAGTTGGTCAACTTTCTAGAATGCAATACTTTTGATCGTCGTGTTGAGATCAGTATGCATTTCGGGCTTTATCTAACCCCTCCATCTCGCCAGCCGCGATAGCGATAGCGATAATCCTGAGAGCTCCATTCCATGAGCAGGTGTTCCAATCCTCGTCTTCACGAACCTTCTTCCAATTCAATTCAATCTTGGATGTGAATGAGAATTATTATTACATAGTTTTATACATTCCTTGCTTTCATTCTGATGTTCATGAGCCAGCTTGTAGTTGCGACGTACAGTATTGTGACCGCCTAGAGAGATGGCAAGAGTTAGATCCCCAGCTTTGAAGATGAGACTGTAGAAATGTCCATACACTTGTTTGTAGTTCTGCCAAAGATACCAGACATGAGACTAAACATGCCGCCATACGATGTACTGGCCCCGTTACATCTCATCCTCTTCCTCGGGAATCAACGGTTGCCTTTCGGGATCGCCAAACCCACCATGTTTATCTCCAACCTGTTTACCTTTCTGCCATACAAATACAACAAGGACTGTTCCAACCGCGAATCCAGCTCCTGCTAGAACGACATTTACAGGCGTGGGGTCACCTTGGAATACCTCGAGTGTGAGAGCATCAATGCCGTACTGCGAGAAATTGACAAGTCCGGAGAGACAAATGATGGCTCCATATACTCGACCAAAGGTTCTCAGCCCGAACACTTTCACTGCATAGTCACTGGGTGCTGTTAGTGGGGCCAGACTACACCGAATTGAATATTCAGGGTGAGACTTACGACATCGCAGAATAATACAGAGGACGCAGTACAACAAACAGACAGACTGTCATGTAGGCGGCCCAAAGTATAGGCAGAGAGTTGAGCACGCCAATGGCTGTAGTCAAACTGACGATTACAGCCAAAGTCATAGGCACACTCAAATTGTCAAGGAAGAAGCCAATGAAAGGTGTGCAGACAACACCACCAACAGGAAGCGCAACATCGAAGAAACGATTGATACTAGCGGCCAAAGACTCGGAATCAAGCATAAACTCATACTGGGAGCGTATCGTAGCAATGAAATAATTCATGCGGAGCATTTGCAGGACTGTAAGAAGAGTCATGAGGATGAACCATGGAGTGACCATCTGTTCGTGTGCAGGGAGCCCATGAAGGATACCCCAAACAGCCGACTTAGTCAAGCGTTCTTCTTCACGATCAGCTCTTTCCTGTCGCACTTCCTGATCACCAAGGAGATTATCAAGTTTGCGAATCTTGTTCTTGCGACGAATTGAACGTTGGATTCTGACACGGTCGACTTCATCTTCGCTGGTGATCTCATCATCAGACGAGTGTACATCTCTGCTGGCGTCATGGGCCCTCTCAATTTTCTTCTCGAGTTGGGGAACAGTGTCGTAAATGTTCGACGGAAGGACGGTGATTTGGGAAAGAAGTATTAGTATAGGGATAATGGTGTAGGAGAAGAAGAATTTGTCGGGCGTAAAGGCGTGCTCTGTCGCTTCGTATGTCATGCGATAGAACAGAAATACAGCCGCTGATGCATCAAATGATCCTGTGATGAGGGCTACGATTGTTCCAGCATACTTGGGAAACGCATTCGCCATGTGGAACGAAGGGACAAAAATGAAAGTGCCACCCAATGCGAGGAAGAAGTTACCGATCAGGTAGCCATCGAACTCTGGGATAGCAAATGCATAGGACATGATGATACTGCCAGTGGCTAGAAAGATGCTGCCAAAAATGCCGCAGACACGAGGACCATAACGATCCAAGATGGCACCAACAGGCAATGCCGAGACATTGGTGGTGATGGAGGCCAAGGTGAAGAAGAAGTTTAATCTGGGACAATTGTCAATCCAAGGAGGCTAAGAGTCGTGTAAATGGTTGCTTACCTGATATCTTGTTCGAGACAGACCTCCACATCTTGTTGCAGTTCGTCATCTGTGCACAGCTCTTGATAAACATTTTCTGAGATCAAAACGGGCTTGATAGCGGCGAAACCAAAGACGATTCCTGAAGCAAGCCAGCAGGCAAGAACTGTGATCACGACTTGGACTGAAACTTGTCAGCAGGCTGATCATTGTGGCGGTCAAGAATGTTTCTCACTTGCTCGTCGTACTGTCGAGACTTTGTAGGCAGCAAGATGATCTGCTTGGTCTTCGACCTGGGTAGGGGGAAAGGCATCGTAGCTCAAGACACGATGAACGCTTTTGGTCGGCACCGCATCGACTGATGGCTCCACGCGCTCTACTCCTGCAATTGAAGTAAGATGCTGCGCCAAAGACATAATTCAGAGAAAACCCGCACTCTGAATGTGCTCCGACGGTCGGAATGGGTCTTCGTTAGCGATGTTGAATTCGCTGCAAATGTTTCAGTCGGAAGGTGTTTGATTTGGGAGGATTGGATGAAGAAACTGACCTGACTCAATTCCTGTTCTCTTTGCCACAATGCCTTTCCCATCATGGATAAATTTTCCGTGCACGAGATTACCTGCATTTCTTTCTGGAAGATCTCCGGCTCCACTTCATCGACCGCGTTTGTCTCAAATACCCTGCTTGTGGCAATTTCATGTGGTAATAAAAGCTAGGCCCCAGCTAAGTCGCCTTTAGATGACCCACGTCATTACTCGTAGTGTGCCGACTTGGAAACCTAAGCACCTCTGGAAAGATCAACCGGAATCGATGCAATTGCAATTCCGAACACCACATTGACGCCGACCGTCTATGTAGCACACGAAATCATTCATTTCCATGTCGAATCCCGATCGAGATGCTGAGGAGGAGCGGACACGAGAGACGGTCTCGCGGTTCCTCGACCCCGCATACACCAGCCACCTTGAAGGCGCAGAACCAGACGAACCCCCGCAGAGCTCGAATACGACGCAGAGCTCCGATCGAGAAGGACGAGAACATGAGAGCTCACTGAAGCTGCAGGGAGGGGACATACACCGGGATTTGTACAAGCTTGGAGCGCGAGCAAGCCCAAGTCCTATTCAGAGAGCGCAAACATTTTCTCATCCACCACCATCTGGTCCCACCTTGGGGAGAGACTCTGCCGCAGAACAGAGACAACCTGGTGGATTCCGGAGGCAGTTTGTCCAACAACAGCGGTCTCAGAGTTTCACAGAGATACCCCGGAGCTTTGTGAGCTTCCTAGAACTTTATGGTTCCGTTACATATTTCCTGGCACAAGACGACGATTCCGACAACGCAATTGAGGACGAAGAGGATGCCGAAGAACGACGCATATTGTCGGCAGAGGGACAAGATGGCGAGAGACGACCTCTGCTCGGTAGGAGGAAGACTTCTCGAGCTGCGAACAAGCCCGGAGATGCCACTCTCACAAAGACATTCTTCCTTCTGCTCAAGTCGTTTGTCGGAACTGGAGTACTGTTCCTACCAAAGGCATTCAAGAATGGCGGTTTGTTATTTTCGTCAATAACTTTAGTGACTGTGTCTCTGGTTTCATGTCTGGCCTTTCATCTTCTGTTGCAGTGTCGCACACGGTATGGTGGAGGGTATGGTGAAATTGCTGAAGCTATAGGCGGCAAGAGAATGAGGTCTATCACTTTGTCCTCTATTGCTCTCTCCCAATTAGGCTTTGTATGTGCTGGTATCATCTTCGCTGCCGAGAACATCTACTCTTTCCTGGAAGCTGTCACCAAAGGTACATCGCCAATCTCGATCACAGCCCTCATTGGCTTTCAACTTCTGGTCCTCATTCCTTTAGCTTTCATTCGCAACATCTCGAAGCTTGGTGGCGCTGCTTTACTAGCAGATGTGTTCATTCTACTCGGGCTGGGATACATTTACTTTTTTGACATTTCTACGATTGCCAAAGAAGGTATCAATGACACCGTTCATTTATTCAACCCACGAGATTTTACCTTGACCATCGGATCGGCCATTTTCACATTCGAAGGCATCGGCTTGATCTTACCCATCCAACAGTCTATGAAACAGCCAGAGAAATTTGAGCGTCTGCTGTTCATAGTCATGATCCTCATCACCATCATTTTCGCATCTGTCGGCATCCTCAGCTACTCAACCTTTGGCGACAAAACAACGGTTGAGATTATCAGCAATCTCCCACAAGACTCCAAGATTGTGAACACCGTCCAATTCCTCTACTCTCTGGCCGTCCTAGCCGGAGACCCTGTCCAATTGTTCCCAGCAATGAGGATTGTGGAAGATTCGCTGTTCGGCCACCGTTCCGGGAAGCGCGATCCAAGAACGAAATGGAAGAAAAATGTCTTCAGAGCATGTATTGTTTGTGCATGTGGGGTTGTATCCGCTTTAGGAGCCGCTGATCTTGACAAGTTTGTTGCGTTGATTGGTTCCTTTGCATGTGTACCATTAGTGTACATCTATCCTGCATATTTGCATCTGAAAGGGGTTGCGGAAAACAAATATGTCAAGCTTGGAGATATAGCTTTGATGACTGTGGGACTTGTTGCTATGGTTTATACTACGGCCGTAACCATCACTCGTTGGTCTGGGTCGTAGGCGTTTGGCTGCTCATAGCATTGGGTTGGATGACATGCAAAAGTTGGCCCCTCAAAATCTTTGTATTATACACGAACGAAACAATATGAAACTTTGTTGATATCGCACACCTGCTTCTACCTCTACCCAGTGAGAACTTAGCGTCGTCTAAGTCGACGAATGAGATTTACGAGATTTCTGTGGCTGCCTGGCTGCGCCTCATTACAAAGTCTACAGTACAAGTATACACGTAAAAATCGGCCCCAAACTCATAATATATTACAAGTAATCTCGTTCGGGGTTTCTTCCTAGGTCCTTGTGCACACGTATGATAACTACTTGCCTCGATCTAGACTGCCATCCCCAAGTCGAGCAACGCACAACATGACCCCCGAAGCCCCTCTCACCAAACTCCCCGACACCTTTGAGTTTCCACCGCGGTACTCAAGGACGGACGTCCTTTCACACGAAACAGTAGCAACGTCTACAGGCAACACTGAAAGAGTGAAGCACTCACGTGATGAAACAGAAACTCTCAAAAGCGAGAGGTTGAGTTCGGTCGTCGAGAAAACTGCTGAGGAGAAAGGACGGCTGTCAAAGAAAAGACTGGCTGAATTTAATGATAGCGAGAAGGTTCAATATGAAGAGGGGGAAAGACCTGGAACAGCGGAAGCTCTGGCACGTGTAACAGTTATTGGGATGTTGGTGGAGGCTGTCGTGGGCACGGCGCTACAAGTCGTGGGATTGTGGATCTGAAGAGGATTAAAGAGAGGTTGGGAAGTATTTGGTCGAAGGATGAGAAAGCTGGAGGCTCCATTACCTATGAGATGCGAGTGTATGGCACGTGAGATGGGAAACTGGAGGAACGGGTATAAGGATACGATAGGGTAAGATAGGTACGAGGACGGCGTTTCTAGATTCTGGAGGTGACAAATTACACTGTTGTATTTACTGTATAGGCTCCGAAGCCTGAGACGAAGACAAGTTGCGGGTACCTTGATAGCTGGCTTCTGATCCAGAATCCGGATCGGTACTCGGCCTTGACCACTATCAATATTCTTTCCTTCTCACCCATCCCAAAATAGCTAAAACAATCGTACCTGCATCCGAGACATACCCACTACTCAATCACACGCCCGCAAGCTTCGAAACTCAAATACCACCTGCAGCCGTGCCCCATATCTCCAACTCGCTTACTAGTCTCGCGTCCCCTATTTGAAATACCGCTTTTGGTCTAAGCCCTTTCCAGCCTAGACTGCGGGCTCTAACGGCGATAAAGTCGATCACTGACGTTAAGCTCTATCGCGGGGTCTGTTGCATAAATAAGAACCCCTCCATCCTCTCTTTTTCCTTCGACAACAGCAACAATCAATCAATCCATTCAATTCAATTCATTACCACACAAATCAATCAAAATGGTCGCATCAGGAGACAGCATTCCCAGCGTGGATCTCTTCGAGAAGGAGCCCGGTAACAAGGTGAACCTCGCACAAGAATTCGGCTCCGGAAACGGACTTATCATCGGGGTTCCCGCTGCGTTTAGTACGTCACAATCTCATTCCATTGAATAACCTCGGTGGACAATACTGATAGTTTGAAGGCCCTACTTGCTCTGATTCGCATATCCCGGGGTACATTGAGCATGCCAAGACCAAGGGCGCAGGAAAGGTGTTCGTTGTCGCTGTGAACGATGCTTTTGTGTACGACTCCCTTTTATCTCTACCTTCCAACCATTCCAATCGATTGTTGGCTTTTGCTGACTTCAATAATCACAGCATGAATGCATGGGGCAAGCAACTCGATAAAGAAGGTGCCTCTGGTATCCGTTTCCTCGCCGATCCCTCGGGCGCGTTCACTCGCGCCCTTGATATGGAGTTCGAGTCTGCGGGCCTGCTTGGGAATAACAGGAGCAAGCGATATGCTATTGTGGTTGAGGGGGGCAAGATTAAGAGTGTGCATGCTGAGCCAGATGCTGTTGGGCTGAGTGTTTCGGCGGCTGATAAGGTTCTTGGTTAAGTGATGGGCTTGGGATATAGAATTTAGAGAGGGATATAGAATAATGGAATCTTGGATACATTCATGGATGGCATCACGGTCTTTCATGTAGAGAATCGGTGCCAGGTTATCAATTTCCTAAAGTCGTTAGTACCTCTTCGACTTGGCGGTGCGATAGTTTCCTATCTTCTTCAATCTCGACCATGCCTAGAATTTTCCTCAATCTTCCCAATGCCTTTCGACTTTTCAAACCTTTTTCGTGAGCGACTGCTCATCTATCACTACTGTGTTTCTGTACGATCTCGGAGTTCCATCCGTTATGATATATCATAACTCAAGCTGGACAACAAAGTACATACCTAGTCTTACCCCTTTTCAGGCTCGGTAAAAAACAGTCACATGACTCATCCTTTACCCCCCATTCTTGGCTATTCTATCAGCTTCGCTGTAGATAAGGCTCACTGGGTTGTTTGTCGGCTTCGGCCGAGGTCTGTGAAGAATATCTCATATTTATGAGCTACTTTCAAAATTGAAGCACCGCGGGGTTCGTAGCTCAAATAAAACCACAATACCACGGAAAGTTTCAACCTCCACCTTAGATTCTGGGATCATCAAAGCCAATATGGCATCAACCACCACATCAACATTAACAGCTTCAGCTGAAACTTCAGATAACACAACTCTCCTCAAGCTCAGCTCAGCCGAGGGCCCCGTTTACCGCCACATCAAGAACATCCCCCTCCGCGACGCACGACCCGATGAAATCCCCATCATCGACTTATCCACCATCTCCTCTCCCTCACTCTCCTCTCGACAGTCAATCGCCACCCAAATCCACCAGGCCGCAACCCACAACGGATTCTTCTACGTCAAGAACCACGGCATCGCCTCATCCACCATCGAAAATGCATATTCCTCTGCGCTCGAATTCTTCAGGCAATCAGAAGACATCAAACAGAAAGTTGACGCTACAAATTCAAAATCTATGAATGGATGGAAAGCACCTAAGACCCAACGAATCAATGCTTCGGAGAGTATCGATGTCAGAGAGACGTTTTCGTTTCGGTATAATCCAGTCTACGACCCCGAAGTACCCGATGAGATACCAGAGAACGTCAAAAACACAGTAACAATCGACGACTTTTGCTGGGATCAAACATATAATCTTCCTCATTTCAAAGACCACAGTCTTGATTACTGGCGCGAGACAGTCAAATTGGCAAGAACCCTGACCAGGATCTTTGCTCTGGCGCTTTCGCTGCCGGAGGAGTATTTTGATGCTAAAATCAAGTATCCAGATGCTGGTGTGGCGATCAATTACTATCCCCCCATGCCCGCTTCCTCTGAGCAAGCAGGGGAGAATAGTATTGGTTCACACACTGATTTCCAACTGTTCACTATTCTGTGGCAAGATAACAACGGCGGTCTCCAAGTCTTGAACCGGGACGGAGAATGGATTAATGCTGCTCCGATTGAAGGCACGTTCGTGGTCAATATCGGGGATTATCTGCAGAGGATTACGAATGATCGGTATATCAGTACGGTGCATCGAGCGCGGAATCTGAGTGGGAAGGAGAGGATTTCTATGCCGTTGTTTTTTGGGTTTAATTTGGATGAGATGTGTGGGTTGTTGGAGATTTGTGTGGATGAGGAGCATCCGGCGAGGTATGAGGCGATTTCGTGTAGGGATTGGGTGCAGAAGAGGGTTAAGGCTATGCATACTGTTTGATAAAGCTTCAATCATAATCTGCTACTTTGTCCAATGGCTGTAAGTATGATTCCGAGCAATTTCGAAGCTCTTTCAAGACTTCAGAGCTACCGAGACATCCACCTTCTTCTCAGCCACTTCTTCCGTACTCTCCGACTCCACAACCTCACCGTCTTCAATTTCCTTCTTCGGCGCCCTCAACTCAAAATACCTAACCACAAAAACCCACCCACACATCCCAACAATAAACGCCAAGCTAGCCGGAAACCCCTTCAAATACCTCGGCGCATCCGTAACCGGATACAAAAACTGCTGAATAACCGTCGTCAACGCCGCTCCACAGCTATTCATGATAGCAATAGTCAAAGCTCTGAGTTGTCTATCGTTAGAACAAAGGATATTGGCCCATGCCATGTAGATGGGTGACAGAGGACCATCTGTGCCGGCGAACATGTAGGCGACTATTTTGAGACCAAGGGGAATGTCCCAGGCGATTAGACAAATGGTGCCGAAGAGGAGGAGGATTAGGTTGAGCATGACTACAACCATGCGTCGGCCGGTGGCGTCCACGTAGATGTTTGCTAGGAGGATCATGACGATGTTCCATCCGTTGATGGCGGTGGGGATATTGTTTACTTGGTAGAGGGACCAGGTGTGTTGCTTGTCGGATTTGAGCCAGAGTTGCATCTGGAGACATTATTTCGGGTTTAAACATGAGGGAGGGAAAAGTGACATACCACTGTATTTGCAACCTTGCCGACTGTCGTGTTCCAAAACATCCAGAGAATGGTTAACACATAAAGCTGCCAAGTCTTCACAACTCTCGAAAACATATTCCAAGAGAACTCCCCTCTCGGCTCCCGACCATCTTCAACCAACCTCTCTTTCGCTCTCTTCTTATCTTCTTCTGTGAAGTAAAACGCCGTCGTCGCCTCTGGCGTATCAGGAAAGAATATGAATCCATAGATACCGACCAAAACCGTAATGCATCCATCAACAATAAACACCCACCTCCAAGCCGCGATCCCATGTTTCCCGTTGAGTCCAGCTAAGACGGCACTTTGCAGATATCCGCTAATCATTGTCCCAACATATGCGGCACACGAGAAGATAGCTGTTCGTTTCCCAAGCTCGTTTCGTTTATACCACGATCCAAGCACATACTGGATCCCAACAAACGAGCTCCCCTCCAGAAACCCCACGAAGAAACGGATAGGGTACAACTACTCAAATCAGCCACCCACCAACTCCCGAAAGACGCCCAACGTACCTGCGTATAACTCTCCACCCTATAAGTAAAAATCGTCAAAATCGCCCACAACAACTCACACCCCGGCAGCAAAATCCTCGGCGGCACCCAAGTTAGGAGTAAATTACTCGGAATCCCACCCAATATCGTGCCAACCTGGAAACAGGTAACAGCAAGATTATACTGGGTGCCGTACATTTTCAGATCTTCTTTCATGCCAGACACATACGCGTTGCTGAGATTCGCTTGGTCGAGCCATTTGGTGAAATAGGCCAGGCAGCCGAACGTTAGGATGAAGAAGTCGATTTTAAAAAGCAGTTTCTTTTCGGAGGGGGGGGTGCCGCGGGGTACCAGATGAAGAAGGGGGGTGGGGAGGGGCCGTAGGAGGAGGCGAAGAGGATTGTCAAGATGCCCATTTTGGAGGGTTGGGAGGAAGAAGATGAGTTGAGGAGAGGATGCCAAGGAATTTGGAGGGATGGGACATGGTGAGGAGAGCTTTATGAGGGATGGGTATCGGTGTTGCCCGTGATATGGGGAAGAAGGTTTGGGTGTTTGTTATCTTGCCGGCGATGTATCCCTATCGATGGAGCTTCCCCGCGGCGGGAGTGTAGATCTATCGGCTCTTGGCATCGCTGGAGATCAGTAGGACGTTACATTTGAGCTGTTGCATGGATAGATTGGCAAAAGTGGGTGTTCGGCCGAGTGTTGTACATATCTTCGCGTTGAGAAGACAAAATTTTGGAAAGGACGACAAACCCCACTCTTGAAGCTACACACCTGATCAACAGCAAACATCGTGATAGCTTCATTCTGACATTCTGAACCCGACTTGAGAAATTATCTCACAAGAGAACCAACAACAAGATTGATTCATACTCAATTCTTCAAAACAATGGCAGACATACTCACTTCCCCACCACCCCCAGAAAACAAAGTCTACTTCCACTCCGGCTCAACACCCACCTACCGCCTTGTAACCCACACCTCAGCCCCCATAACAGCCATCCCAACCCTCGACATCTCTCAAATATCCTCTCCCGACCCCTCAATCCGGCTCTCCCTCGCCAAAGAACTGGTTTCTGCATGCAGTAGTTGCGGATTCTTCTACCTCACCGGTCACTCCCTATCTCCCCAGCTCCAAACCAAGACATTCGATGTGATGAAAAGATTTTTCGACCTGAGTATAGAAGAAAAGATGGATGTGCATGTACAAAAGAATCCCGCTATACGGGGCTACGAACCACGGGGCGAGACGAAATTAGATCCTCGAACCTCTGGAGGTTTGTCTCTCCCCCTTCCTCTCCAACTAGAACTAAAAAAAACATCCCCAGACATCAAAGAATCCTTCACCCTAGGCGACTGCCCCCTCGAACCCGAACAATCCTACCATCTCAAAACCGGCCACCCACCACCCCCCTCTCTCACAAGACCGCAAAACATCTGGCCGTCCAGCGTGCCCTGGTTCCGAGCCGGAATATACGAGTACTACAACGCCATCCTGCCCATCGCTATGCAGTTGGTGCGTTTACTCGCGCTTGGGATGGGCGTCGATGAGGAGGGGTTCGTGAGGGAGTTTTTTGAGTTCCCGATTACGGGGATGAGGCCGTTGCATTATCCGCCGGTGGAGGGGGAGGGAGATGGGGAGGGGAATGTGGGGTTGGGTGCTCATTCTGATTTTTCTTGTAAGTGTTATGGGAATGATGATGGGAAGAGAAAGGGAAGCTGATTAGTGGGTTAGATCTAACACTAGTGCTTCAAACACCATCTCTTTCAGCCCTGGAAGTCCTGACTCCGACAGGACAGTGGATATCTGTGCCAGCGCTGCCGAACACGCTGGTATGTAACGTGGGCCAGTACCTGGAGAGGCAAAGCAATGGGCGGTTTCTGGCGGCTGTGCATAGGGTGAGGAATAAGAGTGGAGAGGAGAGGTACTCGTTGCCTTTTTTCTTGACGATGGATCATGATGCTGATGTGGAGATTTTGGTGAAGGACGGCGAGGAGAGGAAGTTTGAGGATTTTAATGTGGGGGATTTGTATATTAGGAGGGTGTTGGCGGCGAGGGGGAAGCATCCTACTAGTATTAAGTATAGGGATGTGCTAGAGAGTGAGTGGAAGTATGATCTTTTGTTGGGATGAGGGTTTCGGTGGGCTAGATGGCCTTTTCTCAAGCTTTTTAACGTGCTACCTTGTGATGGTTCTTACCTCTGTGAAGTCTGGGATATGGCACTTGCCACGAAACTTATCTGGAAAATGCGGTACAGGCTCCAAAATGTAGTGGTATCATCTTCATTAACTGTCCGAACACCCAATCAGTAATCCATCTTTAACCACAATCACCTCTGCTTATTCCTCCACATGAACCTCAATCCCAGAAAAGCCACAATCCTATACGCCGTCCCAATCGCCAACATCATCAACAAATCATCACCAAACATATTCAACAAGTACCCCGCCGTCTGCTTCGCCATATCAATCTGGTACAGGTATCTCAACGGACTGATATTCTCGGTAAAATACGCTTCCGCTAACCATGTCCCGGGACTCGCTCTCCAGATCCAAACGATGTGCCAACTACGGACCTTCTTAAGAGTTGGAGACATGCCGTTCAGAACACCGACGATGAGCGACATCATGACCGCGAGCAAAGGTCCGTCTTCGCGGCGTGTAACCATGGAAATAATGGATGCAAGGCCGTAGATACAGTAGAAGTATAGCAGATTTGCGATGAAAGCTGATAGGTATGGGATCCGAGGGGTGGAAAGGAGCATGAACATAGTCGTGAAGTGGAAATTTGCCAATACCATTCTCGGGATCGTCGAGACGACTTTGCCAATATAGTATGCAAAGCGGTTATGTCCAGCCGCAGCTTCTCGCCAGTAAACTAGTTTCTCTTCGCCGAAAATCTTGACTCCTGGGGCAGACGCGGTAAGACCGATAGCTAGACCGACGAGGAGGGCCATTTGGGGGACGGAGCTGTAGTCGATAGAGACTGAAAGGAGATCGTAGGGTGAATTGAAGATACCGCGGAAGTTCTGACCCTTTTGATTCAATTCTGCGAGACCGATCAAGAACCCAGCCATTGCACCAACACCCAGCTCGAAGTAGAAGGACGATTTCATGCGGTATTGCTGGACCAAGGAACGCTGGAAGCAGAAATAAATCTGCTTGAACCAGGGTGCTCCACGGGCTTTGACAGTAGCTGAGAGGGCGTTGTTTTCGGCCATAGAGATGGTAGCTGTTTTGGCGAAATTTTCGTTGGCAGATCCGTCTTGTTGCTTTGAGGCCCAGTAGTCGATTAGGTATTGGACACTTGCATCTCCTTTCGGCTTGTAGTGTCGTCCTTCACCTGCAATGATATCACCCATGACATCTGCCGGGTTGGTATGATCAGGAAAGTCGAAACCTAGACCTTGGAAATGAGGTTGAATGCCTGTCTCCGGTCCGCAGTAAATCATTCTTCCTTGACCAAGTAGAACAAGACTGTCTAGAGATTCGAAGATTTCCTGTCGTGGTTGATGGATAATTGTCACAATGGTCATTCCTAGACGAGACAGAGCTTTGAGAGTAGACATAATCGAAGCGGCAGCTGTTGCATCGAGCCCAGATGTAGGTTCGTCGAGGAAGACTGCCATGGGAGCTGCTGCTAATTCCATGCCAATACTCACTCGCTTCCTTTGTCCTCCCGAAATGACTGGCGCTGCGGTACTTCCTACTAGCGAGTCTTTGACGTGGCTGAGTTGCAAACACGAGATGAGGATGTCAACATGATGCTGGATTTCGGAATCTGACCAGTTGGATGGTAGTCGAATTCGAGCTGAATGTAAGATATTTTCTCGGACGGTCAATTCGGGAAGAACAATATCATCTTGTGGGACATAACCAATGATTTTCTTATACCTGGATAATTGTTAGCTAGGGAAACAGAAAGACTGTCAGAAGTCCAAACTTACTTCGCAATCTTGCCAGCTACACCATTGACTTTGGTGACACCTCCAGTATGGGCTTGCTTTCCCATGAGAACATTGACGAAAGTAGATTTTCCAGCACCAGAGGCACCCATAACTCCCCAAAGAGATCCAGCATGAATGGTACCCGAGACTTGGTCGAGGATCTTTTTGTTGCTCTTTGGAGGCTTGAAGCCCAAGTCTTGAAACTCGAAACTCAATCCGAACTTCGTAGCACCCAAACATTTAGACAGCGATTGAACGAAGAGATGCAGATCCGTCTTCTGTCCACCATCATCCTTATTCAATTCCTCATGCAACACGAAGTCTGCTTCCAACTCGCCAATTTGCTCGAAACCTGTCTTGGCGCGCCGTGGACCCATAATCCTAGGTTCCATCTGAAAATCATTCTCCACATCTTCCTGAAATCCAGGATGTCCCCGCTCATCGATTTCTTGATAATCTCTATTTCGAAATCTGCCTGCACCTTTGGCCATGAACGCTGATCTTCTCGACTCTCTTTTCTGGTGGAAGTTGCTCTTCTTATATCTACTTCGAAGCTTCTCCATGACTGTGGCTGTGATAAGGATGATGTCGACGAGAAGCAGGATACCCAGTGGGAGGAAATTCATATCTCGTTGAGACCCAGCTGGGCACCTCGAGCCAACTGTGCATTTGATCGGACTTGCAACACCGTGGGGGCAGTAGCTGCCGGAGGGGCATTGTATTTTTTGTGTTCCCCCATTCGGACAATAATATCCTGGATCGCAGAGGACGGGCTCGAATAGGCCTTGTGGTGGACATGGAGTTCCAGATAATCTCAAGTCTTGACAGGAGGGCATCGGTGGACAGTACTGTGGGAGGTGTTGCGCGCTATTGTTTGCACCTGGACACAATGGTCAATTGTACCCTCTCAAAGCAGATATTTAACTTACAGTAGAAACCCTCCAAACAGCCCACTTGGCTCCAGGAAGTGGCATTTTGTATGGTGATTGGTACTCCACCAGGTATCACACATACTTGCGTCTCATTCCCCGCCTGAGCACCCAAAGTAGCATTCTGAGAAGTCATCCTCACTTTCCTTCACCTTGACGTCGCGACAACAATAGCAGGACAACCAAAAAAAAAGTTGAACGCGCCAAGTACAGACGTCAACTTGCCTATATAACCGTGCCATCTCACCTTACATATCTTTAATTCCACAGACGCGGGTCCCAGGGCATCGCAGTACTTCGCCGCACAGCGATACAGGCTGTACGTGAAGAACTTACATGGCTCTACTTAATTACCGAACGCGAAATGCATTTGGCTAGACTCTGCACATCCCGGCTCCCCTGAAGGAAAAACCTCCTACCGAGAGTGAAAATAGGGTATCGAGGGTGTGTCGACCCAACTTGACAAGATAACGTTGCTACGCCGCATGCGCAAATGGCATTGCCCTATGCACATCAGAAATGAAAAGCCTGATAATATTATTTGTAACCGGATGCAGAGCCTTGGAGCTGAAAAGAATGCTGGCAGCGATTGTGAGATGCTGGGCAGATAGGGCTTACTGTACGTGAAAGTGGATTGAAGTTGATGTTACAGTAATGTCGAGTGAGATTTGGATTGACCTTGGCGGTGGCTTTTAGGTGGCTTTCGGGGGCGTGATGGTGGATTTAAGTGGGATCCCGTCGCCTAAGTTTCAGTCCTGGATCGAATCGACGGGTAGCCTATTCGCTGATCGCTAACCTTACGAGCTGGGGAGGATTATTCAGAAGCGACAGACAGGGAAAGTGAAGATGGGGATGTAGAACCACAACCAGAAATAGGTATCTAAGCTTGAAACTTCACTGTGCTTCAATGCGAGACAGCACCTTTCCTGTTAGTATCTACTGTACCTTTTTCATAGACTCCAACATTCGCAACTCTGGAGATTGTCAAGCAGCGAAAGCGGTCCCGGTAACCGTTATGTTAAAATAAAGGGGCTTGTTAGCGTTACCGACGGACCGGGTACCATTGGCTGGGCCGTATGACCGTGAGGCACAGCACTCATGACCCTGATTACTGGTCCAAATGCGAGGCTTTAGGGCTGAAGGCCCCTTGTTCGGGGAGACATGCAAGGGCGCGGCGCTGGAAGGAGTACATAGCACGTCTGAAAGGCGCAGAATGTCCAATTGATCTTGCTATTGATAGGCTCGAATGTTCGCTGCGAGTTGTCGAAATACATAACAGTATGGACCTCATCTAGTCTCGCAAATGGCAATGTATGGAGATGCCGGTCCACCCAAGAAGAACTTGCCAGTCTCAGCATCATGCACTACAGTTGATGCACAAGGCAAGACGCTCCCATTGTCTTCAAGTATCTTTTCGACGTAATAGTCCGCTTCTTGATTCTCCAGATGCCCTTTTCGTCTAATGCCTTCGTATCCTTTCCCGCCCCGTCTGATCCTCAGGACTGTTGTGGGAGGGTGACTTCCAAATGGATTCTTGCCGCTTCTGACGAATCCCAATACTTTAGGAAACCCAGATGCGAAGATATCTCCATTCTTATCGACTGACAAGTTATCCAGTGGCATATCAACTTTGATCTGGTTGACTGGTGTTAACATGTGATCTTCCCCCAGAGAGAAGACATCGATGAAACTGTCGAGGGTGTTTGGCACATAGATGAGTCCATCGCGACCTTTTGCCAATCCATTTGGAAAGTTGAACCCAGAATCCCATGCGATGTTGCAACGATTGCGATCGCAGTAACCGACAGAGCCTCCTCCTAGGACACGTTCCAATTGACGTCGCCAGCCCACCTTGTCTGTATGGTCATTGGTAAACACGAATGCATGGTCACTGACCCAAGCTATGTTATTGGGAGTCTTGATAACAGGATTCGCATACGTTCGCACGTGCTTCATGGTTGAAGTTCCAGCTTTGGTGATGAACTGCTCAATTGTCGAATTCGCGCCAACGACTGAAGCATCGAGCGGCTCTCCAGTGATGGGATCAAGGGGAGGACGGACATTGACGAGCAAGATGCGAAGCGTGTCGGTATTTTTGTCTGCAAGAATATCAAGGCCGAGGAGATTCAATGTTCCGTCGCCATTGATGCCAACGAAGTTCTCAGCAGAGAGCCACTGGAGCCTGGATGAGACCGGTCCAGTGCCCCGAGTATCCAGAACAGCAATACGATCATTCATGCCTCGTCCAGAAGCATTGAGATGATCGATACTGGCTCAATTAGTTACGAAGGTCCAAAGGCCCCAGAAAACATACGCTGGATTCCACTCCACCCGACTTTGAGCACTGGTGCAAGCAAGATACAGGAAGCCTGTCTTCTCATGCAACCACATATCTTCGCATGCCTCGAGACCAAGATCATCCACCCTCTGACACTGAACATGATTAAAATCTTTGATTGACATGACATGGCGTCGGACACCCAGAAGGTCAAAAATGATGCGCTTCAAAAGCAGTTGGTACAGAACAGCCAAGCAAACAACACCAACAATAGCGACCTTGGAGATCAAGTTGACCATCGTGAACGTAAAACCGCAGAAGGAGGTATTCCGAGATAATGGAGAAGAATATATCCCCAGAGAACTTGCGAGGAGATTCTTTCTATCTTTGGTGTAGAAAAAGAAGGGAAGAAATATAAAATCAGATAAGGTGCAACATTGTGCCTAGCGTCGGAGCCCCAAGCCAGGAGAGGAAGCGGGGTCCATGAAACAGCATATGCCAACGGGAGGAATTCAAATGCAGACAATAGAATAAAGCAGATTTTCCAGAAACAAAAAATTTCACTTCTTTAATTCTGAACAAATAGAGTTATATCTCTCGTCAGAAAACTTATAGCTTCTTGGATGAATTGAATCTCTCAACAGTGGTTGACACTACTCTCTACGCACGGACCAAAAACACCAAAATCATGAAGACAACAAAAATAATAATACATTATAGTAACTCTACAATCTAC